TCTGATGCACCTGGTACTAGTCGCTATTGGAGAGAGAATACTGAAGTATGTGTACAACTGGACAGATACAACAATTAAGTTACAATGTTTTTGTTTGAGGAGTATACTTCTGAATATTAATTTCTAAATTATAGAGCTGGATTTTAAAAAAAAAATTAGACTATTTAAATCACATAAAGTATTAAAGTTTGTCACATTTCTATTTTAGTTTCCATTCAAGGAATTCAAAATATTTTACATCATCTCTTTGGGAAGGACTCAATTTATAATGTAGAAGTCAACTTTGGATGTCAAATCCTTGCTAGTCCTCTTTTAGTGAAATATATTTTTCATTCCTCTGGTATACAACTGATTTTGAATTCTTTATTTTTCTTAACAAAACATCACACAAATACTATATTACAGTAAGATGAATATACTGACTGTTCCTCAGGATTACAGTACTTTGATATCAAGCACTTTAAAAAAAATCTCCAAGTGAACTCTTCAGCAAACACAACTTTCTCCTAATTTGTTAGCTATTTAATAGTTTGTGCTATGTAAAAATTGTATCTGAGATATTTCTAAACTATACAAAATACATTATTGTAGTAAAATTTCAACCTATCAACAGAAACAAATGAAATTAATGTTACACTTGAAAATTAATCCTCCCCCAGATTGAAACAAAGTTGATTCTATTAAATGTGATAAATGAAATGGAAATTAAAATTTTAATGAGGTGCTTGTTAATCCATTTATTCACATCTAATTTAAACTTGGTTAAATTGCTACTTATTATGAATACTATAGATATGATTTCTTCTAAATCTCAAGGGCAAATAAAAGTGAGAGGACTGCTTGTCCCAAGACAGGCCCACAGTATATTATCCCGGCATTTGAAATTAAGCACTAGAGCTATTTTCTGTGATACATTTCATTTAAGAAAATTAATGACATTTTAAAGTAGTTGGTGAAGTCCTTTGACATGGTAATTGTCCAGACCAGAACAATGGAAGAAATATAACGAAAGGGAGGCTGCCTACCTGCCATTTATCATTTCTGTAGTCATTGCTTCTCCAGATCCAAGACTGGAAGGATTAATCGTGTCTGTTGCAGCTCCCGACGACTTTATCAAGTACTACCATTTCTCATAGATAGAACTTTTTTTTATTTCAGTTGGTGTGTGCCAGAATTTGGCAGTGGCAATTACTGACAAGCAGAAAGAACTTTCCATCCTAGCGTGGTGTAAAGTACTGAGAGTGCAATTACACAACAGCTTTTTATAAATGCACAATTCATGCAAAAATCTCACAATGCACAGAAATTGCAACAGCTGATAATGCTGTAACATTTTACAATTGATTCCATACAAAACAGTGCATTAAAGGAACATTAAAGTTCAATATGTAGGAGCAAAAATCAGGAAATGACAAAGTCAAAGTTGCAACCCCAAACCTCAATTATGCCCCTGAGGCGTATATATTACACTACCATCTTTAATTACATGATTACAAACGATTTTTCAAATAATTGAATATGTTTTCATACAGTTTTTCTAAAAACACATTTATAATCTTTTCAGAACTTTGTAATATTTTATTAAATCTTGCACATTTGCACTAATTTTATTACCATGATGGTTCACTATATCTTTATTGACTTAAAGCCAAATTCTTAGAATGACTGAATACTTGCAATTTCTACTGACTTCAACAAGAGCCAGAGGTTTGGAGCATAAGAACAGTCTTCCTGGGTCAGACCAGTGGTCCATCTAGCCCAATATCCTGTCTCTGACAGTGGTCAGTCCTAGATGCTTCAGAGGAAATGAACAGAACAGGAGAATTTTAAGTGATCCACCCTCTGTTGTCCACTCCCATCCTCAGGATCTGGCTCTTATTCTTTTAAGATGATAATATTATTAAAACACAGACCATAATGAAAATTTATCACTATCATTTACTATACATTCGAGGAAGTGTTCTTTTTGCAAACACTTATACCTCTGAAGAATAAGTTATGGACTCAATTCTGCAATTCTTACTCATTTTTATTAGCATTTTTTCATGCAAGTAGTCCTAAATAATAAAGGGAATAATCTTCACCTTCTCAAATTCTGTCCACGGTCCTATGTAATTTTACATGTGTCAGTTGTAACACAACCTTGGAAGAGACATGCTGGGGGTGGGGGAGGGGAGACTCCTTTCAGCTGAGAACACAGAGCAGGGTATAAATCCAATGCTGTAACTTCACTACCTCTTCTTCTAGATAGAAGAGTACTGTGTTTCCCCTCTCTGCATGAAACTCCTAATCTAAGACTCAAATAGATGAACTAAAAGCAGAATGTATTAGGAATAGAGAATCAAATTAAAAAAAAAACATGTGCATCACTAGTCTGATACTTGGCAAAAAGCCAGCTAAATAAACACAGCTTAGCTTTAGCTAAAGTGAACCAAATAACATTTTAAAACAAGATAATATTTCACCCTTGACACCCTGGATCTTCCAGCTGACGAGATATGGAACTTTAGAGCTCCCAGCCAAACAGCCACACCCTTCTTTCATAGATTCCAAGGCCAGAAGAGACCACTGTGCTCATCCAGAAAAGACCACTGTGCTCCTGTATAACACAGGCCATAGAACTTCCCCAAAATAATTCCTCGAGCAGAGCATTTAGAAAAAACACACAATCTTGATTTTAAAATGGTTAGTGATGGAGAATCCCCCACATGACTTTTGGAAAATTATTCCAATGGTAATTATCCTCATGGTTAAAGATGTATGCCTCATTTCCAGTCTGAATTTGTCTCACTTCAATTTCCAGCCATTGGATCATGTTATGCACTTCTCTGCTAGGTTGAAGAGCCCATTATTAAATATTTGGCCCCCATGAAGATACTTCATACACTGTAATCAAGTTCTCTCTTAACCTTCTCTTTGCTAAGCTAAACAGATAGAGCTCTTTGAGTCTATCAGTATAAGACATGTTTGCTAATTCTTTAATTATTCAGGTTTCAGAGGAACAGCCGTGTTAGTCTGTATTCGCAAAAAGAAAAGGAGTACTTGTGGCACCTTAGAGACTAACCAATTTATTTGAGCATGAGCTTTCGTGAGCTACAGCTCAAAAGCTCATGCTCAAATAAATTGGTTAGTCTCTAAGGTGCCACAAGTACTCCTTTTCTTTTTAATTATTCAGGTATTCTCCTGGCTCTTCTCTGACCCCTTTCCAATTTATCAGCCCTCTCTTTACCACTGTCAGGCAGTATCTCAGATACATACAGACTACACTCTGTCCCCACTTGCAGCATCTCAGGTTCATTCTTCAGTTATAGACTATGGCCTTTTGATATTTTAAAATCAAGAGTGGATGTTTTTCTAAAAGATCTGCTCTAGGAATTATTTTAGGGAAGTTCTGTGGCCTATATTATACAAAAGGTCAGACTAGATGAACACAGTGGTCCCTTCTGGCCTTGGAATCTATTAATTTTACAAATATTAACCTGCTCACTATAATAACTAGCATCTCTCACAAAAATATTTATACAAATGTACTAGTGTGTCATCATACCAGATATTCCCGCATAAAGGTGTGGTGTCACATATTACTTCAGGATCACATTCAGTCCTTCTTTGGTACATCTTTTATTACTCCAAAATATTCTTTTGCAGATGGGGCCCAGCTGCAAATATCTAACTTTGGAAGCCATCCTCCATGACTGTTATTGGAAAGAAGTCTTTAGAAATACTAATTAAATCCCCTTTCTAATGTTGAGTGCCCTGATCTAGCAGACAATCACTGTCTGCTTTTATGCACGTGGATTTATGGAGCGATTAACCAATCTGTCACAGGGACTACTGGAAAAAAATGCTATTCTATTTTTAAATCAATTCTTATTCTGTGCTTCCAACTGAAGTTTCTAAAGGATACTTGGCATTAGGAAGCACTACAGAATTGGACCCTCACTTCACATCTCAATTTGTCAGAGAAACACCCATTCAGCATCACATTAACTGTGCATATTTTTAATATTTTAACTACGTACCTAATCTGTAAGTATAATTACTTTGTTTGCTTCATGTGACAAACAGAGCTCACATATTTGCCTTTCTCCAAGTAATACGTTCTTAAAATTTTGTTCAACTGTTCATTCTGATAAGTAAAAACTGTAATAGAGTGAGTGTGTGTGTGTGTTTATGTGTGTACATATGTACTACTGGTTTGGAAGTCATTAAAATATTTCTAATTGGACAAATATAAGTAAATTGGAAAACCCATTAGTCCATAAAGTAATAGAAAAATATAATTGTTTTTCTACACGCAAAGTATTTATTTTGTACCAACAAAATATATATAGTAAAACGTATTAATGAAACACCACTATTACAGCTACAGGCACTGGAAGAGTTAAAGTTCTACATGTATATACACAGAGCACAATGAAACTGCAGCAGACTCAGGGGTGGAGACACTAATGAAAACCCATCAACTTCTATAGAAGTTATTGTTATGCTTGAGGTGGGGTGAAATTTCATTGAAGCTGTGGGCAATAGCTGCCATTCATTCAGGATAAATACAAGAAGCCATGAAGACTTTATGTAATAGGATAACTGAAACAATAGGGGACAGCACCCAAAACACAGGCCATACGTCGGTCGGGAATCTCAAAGACATTAAGGCCAGAAGGGACCAGCATGATCATCCTGCACATTGCAGGCCACAAAACCTCACCAACCCACTCTTGTAACAGACCCTTAACCTCTGGCTGAGTTTCTGAAGTCCTCAAATCATGATTTAAAGACTTCAAGTTACAGGGAATCCACCATTTACACGAGTTTAAACTTGCAAGTGACCTGTGCCCCACGCTGCAGAGAACAGCAAAAAAAAAAAAATCCAGGATTCCTGCCAATTTTATCTGGGGGGAAAATTCCTTACGAACCCCAAATATGGCAGTCAGTTGGTCCCTGAGCATTTTGCCAAGACCCACCAGCCAGACACCTGGAAAAGAATTCACTGTAGTGACTCAGAGCCTTCCCCATCTAGTGTCTCACCAGCAGTCATGGGAGATATTTGCAACTAGCAGTCACAGATCAGCTATGTGCCATTGTAGGCAGTTTCGTCATACCATCTCCTCCATAAACTCATCAGGCTCAGTCTTGAAGCCAGTTAGGATTTTTGCTCCCACTGCTTCCCTTCGAAGACAGTTCCAGAACTTCACTCCTCTGATGGTTAGGAATCTTCATATATGTTGACAGAAGGGTCTCCCTTAGGGGCTGTTTGATGGAACTGCGTGTGAGAGAGAGAGAAGCAGAAGAAACACCATACAAGCAGACAGAGAGGGCAGCAAGGAAACACCAGAGACAGACAGGGAAGCACTTGTAGCATGATCCTGAGAAAAAATTAAGAGTGTGTGCTTTTGGGTAGAGTGCTGTCTGGAAAGAGGCTTGGATCTGTGAGAAAATAAACTGTCTCCTGTTGTTTGATTGCTACAGTGATCAGAGAAACAGGACTTTAGGTACATTCTTTGTAAATATAAAAGGAAGCATCAAAGAAATACCTGACTCACTCATCAATTTCTCATTCTAAAAGAAACAACCTGCAAGAACCTGAATATTGGCTAATACCTCTGGTTAAAAGGGGTAACATTTAACAGCCACGCAGTCAAAAAAGCTTCAGTTTTCAAGGCTTGGTCTGAAAAATCCTCATAGTAAACTGCATGGAACTCAGTGTTCTTGCCATAAAGATGAAGATGAGAATCAATCTTGCATAGATTTCAAACACTGGCTCCAGAAAAAGACAGGTTTCAGAGTCCTTTTCTTTTTCCAGAAAAAGAGAGTGCATGAAAATATTTCAAACATAATATACAGACCACTAAGCCAACCTATGCAGTGGAGCTTGTAATTTCTATTGCTACTAAAATACCTCTGCTCTTACTTCTTTTGAGTCATCTTTTCTCTCTGAAGAAAATGTCTTCAGAAAAGCATTTCCCCAGACCAATTTCTTCTCTTCTTACATATAATAAAATTCTCATACCTACTCTAGACTGTTTGGTAGGTAGCAGACCTAGCACAAAAGGAAGAATTTTTGTTCTTTCCCTCTGCAGTGCTCTTTTCTCCTTCATGCTTCCTTGGCAAACAATTACTTATACAAAAGTTGCATGTTTTTAAAAAGCTATGCAAACATTTATAATTAATCCTCACAGCACTGTGGTGAGGTAGATAAGTATTAATATCCCTGTCACCTGATGAAGGGGAAAAGGGTAAGAAACCAAGACAAGAACTAAAGTAGCTTGATTTAGTGTTCAAAGCCTAGCCCAAGCAAGTTACTCAGCTTTTTTATGTCTCAGTATTTCCACCTGTAAAATACTCTGAATACTACTGTTTTGCACTTAACTAGTGCTTTTTTACCTGTAGGTATAAAAATACTTGATAAAGTTGGATAACCATGAGTAGACCCATTTTACAAGCAGTAAAGCTGGCTATACAGATTTGAAACATTTTTTTTCTAAGGACAGCTTCTGGTTTATACCCACTATTGAAACACCTAAGATTACTATAATTTAAAGAAGTGACTGGAACACATTCTTTTCTCTTTTTCATATTTTATTCACTTTGTGCATTTCACATGTCCTTTACAGTAAGTGGCAATGTTTGTTGATGGTCATTTACACTTCCTGTTTCATGAAGCCAGTCCAGACTACTGCTGGGTTCTTGAACAGTTAAACACCTGAAATGCTGAGATCACTGCCTATCTACTGGCCATTATCACCTCTTTGTCCCCATTTGGTCCTCTCTTTCTCTCTCTCTCTGTCCCCTTCCATCTTTTGTCTCTTGACTTATACCTACATTGTAAGATCTTTGGCCCAGGGACTGTCTTTTAGTAATATGTTTATACAGTGCCTAGTGCAGTAGTGCCCCAATTTATGAATGAGGTGCCTAAGGCTACTGTAATTTAAATAATAAATAATAAAACTTTACTGGATTTTGCCCTTCCATTCTTGAAGGAAGAGGGGTCCCTTCCTGACACTCATGAGAAATCCTGCATCTTGGCAGGGGGTTAGACTAGATGACCCTTACAGTCCCTTCTAATCCTATAATTTTATGATTCTATGATGCTATGAAAAGAGGTGGAGTCCACCACCTCTACCTCCTTCTCTCTGGGAGGGAAGCCCTTGATGCTGCCCCATCTCTCTAGGGACAAGGGGAGCCCCAACCTGCACAAGAAGGAATGACGGTAGGCTCCCCACAACTGCAGCAGCAGCTCCTGTGTGGGTGGCACCTGACACTCTGTATGGGAGAAAGATTATAAATATTTATCATTTCAATAGTGAGAGGGTAAACTATTATTTTTGCTTTTCACCTTTAATATTAAGCACATGTTTTTTAAATGGTTCTTTATAAAAAAAAAAAAACCTTTATTATAGGAACTGAAACTTGTATAGTTTTACTATTTATAGACTACTAAACCAGACAATATTTAAATGGCTATTTTTTAACCTTTTCAGCAGCTACATTCCATTAACCACTTAGTAACGGTTAAAAAAAAAACCTAGTGAAAACATTGCATATTTTTTATGAAAGTCATTCAACTACATAAGCCATCCCAACAGTGAAATGTCAGTGGATTCTGTAGCCAAGAAAGGATTCTCATTCCCTCGCTCACTGAAAACCAGGCCTACCACACTTAATCTACAAAAAAGATACCAACTGCACAGTTTAGTGCTGTTAAAGGAGTCACCCATGAATCATCTGATAAAGTACAGGTATGAGCTTGGCTTGAGGAAAGGTCTCCCAGATGGAATGAACGGAAACAAAGATGACATAATACCAATAGCAAAGAGACTCTTTAGCTAGGAAAAATATTTTGTTAAAAGAATACAACAAATCTTCAGTTCATATTCTATGTTTAGAAACAAAGCTTTTGAAAGATATTTGAATGCAAACCAAAAACAAACTATGTAAATGAAAGAAATTCAAATAGACATCAGTGACACGGTGTTTGCACAGATCACTAGTGAGCACTATAGCATCATATTGTTAATTTGGTACATAACTTGAGATTATCAGCATGTGTAGGTATTTGATTCTCAACATACTAATAAACAAATTATGTGGTATTTTGTGGCAGGCTTCCATTCCCTAGAAAAAATATATGAAGGAAAAGGAGATTTGTCTTGGAATTCTTCACCGTATGACATTCAAATCTGACTAAAGCCAAGTGCAAACTGTAAACCATATCTTATGGAAAGGCTAAAATAGAACAACCATGAAGAAATATATGAGTCAAACATGCCAAGGGGCACTGAAAAGGCAGTGAAAGGGTTAACAAGGGACATGCTCCATTTACAATATCAGTTAAAACATTCCAGTAAACAGAGTAACATGCAGCTCTCGAGAACAGAATCGTTACAAAACCCAAAAAGGCCAGAACCTGGTGAATCAGATGCTAGCCATTGAACCTAAAGGAGCACCTAGTGGCCACCAAAATAGCCTATAAATGTCACACCAACAAATATTGCCAAAAGGCCCCATTTCTGAATGTTAGTAAAAAAGTATGGCTGTACACTAAATATCTACAGGCTGGCCAACCTACGCACAAATTGGACCATCAATATGCAGGACCTTACACCATTCTTTGACAAATCAATCTGATAACATTTGAATTGCAGCTCCGTTGATCCTGGAAGATCCATCCAGTGTTTCATGTACTTCTCCTGAAGCCATTTTTCAATGGTCCACTTCTTGGCCAGCATCCATCACCCCCACCCCTAGATCAAGTACAGGACCATGAGGAGTATGTAACTCAGAACATCATGGATTCCCAAATACTGAGAAGAGCATTGTATTGTTTGATTTATTGGGAAAATTATGGGCCAGAAGAATGTTCTTGGGAGCCAGCTCATCATGGTCATGCCCTTGAAAAACTACTGGGTTTCCACAAGGATCAGCCTGAAAAACCTGGCCCCAAGGCACCTGGGGACTGCCCTCAGAGGAGGATAGTGTCGAGCACCGTGGGTCTCAAACCCAGGCCCAGGTGGTTTCCAAGAAGGAGACTTTGTCTTTTTGTCACCACGTTGGAAGGCCAGATGTGGAAACTGCAGGTGATACCCCAGAAACAGAGGCTACAGCTGTTGACTAAGTAGGATCAGCTGACTAACAGACAGTTGCTGACTGATCACCTCCTAGCTCAGTGGTTCTCAAACTGTGGGTTTGGACCGCAAAGTGGGTCATGACCCTGTTTTAATGGGGTTGCCAGCGATGAAGCCCAAGCCGAAGCCCCACTTCCCCTGGGCTTTAGCTTTGCCACACAGACACCCTGCCTGGGGCAGCGATGCTCGGGCTTCAGCTTTGGACCCCCACCTTGGGCATTGAGTCTTGGGCTGGCTCAGGCTTCGGTCCCCCATCCTGGGGTCATTTCGTAATTTTTATTCTCAAAAGGGGGTCGCAATGCAATGAAGTTTGAGAAGCCCTGTCCTAGTTCAAAGTTTCTTATTTCCTGTCATACCCTTTGTCTGAGCAACTAGTCACTTGGTCTGCTGCTGACTAGACCCCTTTAAACCAAGTTCCGCCTCCTTGCCCGGTTCCTACTTCTTGTTCCTGTTACCTTGCCTTGTTTCTCACTCCTTGTTCCTGCACCCTCGTCCTGACCTCAGTTATTGACTCTGATTTTGACCCCAGGTTTGCTTCCAACTCTGGCTGTGACCCTTGGCATGGCTCCAGATCATGATCATGATGCTATTCTGGGCTTCAATCATTAGATCAGACTGCCCATGTACAGGTCCTTACAAGCACATATCTGGGCTCCTATTGGTTTTTTTTTTTTTTTTTTACGGAGGAGTTAAATACACACCTTGCTGTGTCCCTCACAATGAGATACCGCTAAACATGTACACATTCTTGAGCCCTTTGAAGAATGAAACTGAACAATCCTGCATTTTTATTGTTCTACCAGCATTGTGCACTTTGAAATTAGCATGGAACTCCCAGTCAAAGTAATAAAGCCATGACATACAAAGCACTGAATGCTGTTCTTCACGGTTCATGGTAATAAGGTTACATATTATGGAGCTCAGAGAAGAGGAATGAAAACCATCAGAGAGCTGGAGACAGTAACTTGTAGAGTTAGTAACAATTTATGGAACTGAAAAATGTAATTTGGCTAAGGTGATGAATGAGAGGTGGCAAAGATATTGCAATAGTAGATAGCTTTTCAGGGGTTCTAAAACTTCATTGCATCGTGACCACCTTCTGAGAACAAAAATTACTACACGACCCCAGGACGGAGGG